TCCTAAAAGGTCACCCATCCTAAATTACTCTATATTAAGCATGCTTAACTGTGAAGTTCTTAAGGAATAAGCTACCAAAGAGTAGATGCATCTCATTGGTATCAATAGTACAAATTAATTCCTTTAAGTCATCCTCAACTATACAATCTCATACTTGTACAATCTTTGGATACCCCTCATTCTAGTATATTTCACAAATTACAATATAATATAATACTACAATTTTTTATGTAAATTAAAAAATACTAATATTTTAGTTTGTGTATTTCAAAGTTACATTTTATTATATATAATTAAAATTTATAATAAGTTATATATAAAAATAAATATTATTGTTAAATCAATAAATCATATTTAAAATTTGTATACATATATATTAAATTAAAATTAGTAACTAATCAAAGAATAATTAACTTATATATATAAAACACAAATGTCTTTCTTGTATCATAGCGTTTTTAGAGACTTTTCTTTAACTAGAAGAATTTTATATATTTTTAAATTTTTTTTTATCTAATTTAGTTTTTATTTATAATTATTACTTATAAATTAATTTTATTATTTTTAAAATAAATTATTAATAAAATATAATTACCCACAGATTTATCCGTCGGTAATTACCCACGGATTTATCCATCAATAATTACTCACGGATAAATCTATGGGTAATTACCATGGATACATCCGTGGGTAATTATCTAATTTAATATTTAATTATCATAATTACTTATGAATTAATTTTATTATTTTTAAAATGAATTATTAATAAAAAAATATTATCCATGGATACATTCGTCAGTAATAACGTCGGTAATTTAGTAGGTATTGTGGATAATGTTTTTAAAAAACAATTTTAAAGTTGTATTAAATAATAATCTTATTTTATTAAAAACACTATGGTTCAAAATTGGTAAAATTATTATAAATATTAAGAAATTATCTTTTAATTTTAGGTTATCATGCATCAATATCATTTCACTAATTATATATTTGTCAATTTAAATAAAATTAACTATATAATATTAAAATATAATGATAGTAAATTATTATTTTATAGTATCATTTAATTATAAATTATATATATATATAATAGTTGGTATGGTAAATTAAATAGCATGAGAAAATTAGTTAAGTATTTAAGAATTTAATTTGTTAATCTTTTTTATCATTAAATTTTTTAAAGTTACCGATGAAGTTTTTTTGCATTTTCTACGAACAACGTTTTAGACAGATAATTTGTGAGAAATATCTGTCTAAAACATCATTCCCACAAAAAAATATTCATGGATAAAATCCATCTGAAATTTTAGACGGAAAAAATATGTGGGTAATATCTGTTGGAATCATTTATGTTTCAAACAGACACATATCCATCGAAAAAATCCGTCGGTAACGTCATTTTTCATACGGATATTTATCCATGGGAAAAAGTACGTCGATAATAAGTGTTGATTTTGTAGTGTTTAAATCATATAACAACAAAATAAATGTTGTTCGACACATAAAAATATATTTAAGTCATTCTACACATCAAAAAAATTATACAAAGAATTATTTAATTTATAAATTACCTAACTATATCATTGAGGACCGACAAATGACGAATTGAATTATTGTATTTGTAATGAATATTGTGTTGAAATAAGATGAGATGAATAAGTCCAATGCTACGGATTGGCAAACCAAGAAGTGAGTTATTGCATATTGTGCTATTGTTATGTGATTATTGAGTCCATGCATTCACACTTTTTTTGAAAGATAATGTGAATATATGTAGGTGGGATATCATAGGTCATCTACTTGTGCCCTAGGAGTTATTATGATGGAGAAACATCTACTGGGAATAAGAGGCTACCATGGCCATCTGTAACACTTCGACAAGATCTTGATAGAGTTAGAAGCATACATCATCATAAGTCTTAGTTGAAGAATGTGTTATGTTTGTGATTGATGGAATGATGGTGGTAGATGGAATATGATATATTAAACTATTATTAATATTGTACAAGAGAATTGATGAAGGTGTATAATATGTAATTGTTATATTTGTTAAGTCAGACGAAGCAATTCCCAGCAAGATTTTGAATGAGACAAATATAATACATGTTGTTATTTCTAAGTGTGTTAGTATTTCAGAAAAACATAAGTACAGGCAAGTTGAAGAATAAAGAATGTGCATGTGCCAAGGGAAAGGAAGAAAAGCTTCAAGCTAGACAAAAAGATAGTAAATACAAGACGAAGCGTACCACTAGTAGAAGTCTTGAAGTATCAAATGAAAGGCCAAAACTAGCATCAAACAAGGCTAAATCAAGAACAAGACGAAAGCCTCAAGGATCAGATGAAACAAAGACAAATGATATATGGAATATGAAATGTGCGCCAAACGATAATGAATCAAATATCAGACGAAGTTGTGTCAAGAACAACCTAGAGCGTAATACAAGAACTCAAACGAAGGCTGGTCAAAGATCAAAAGAAAGTCAACAACATATCAGATGAAGGACAACAAAGACTGAAAAGAATCCCAGATGGAAACAAAGTCTTTTTATCTTTAATGTTGACCAGACCGAAGAAAGTCAAAGCATTAAGGACAAATGCTCAGACGAAGATCAAGACGTGAGATGCACATGGACTATCAGACGTAGATGAAAATCGCCATACAAGGATTGAAGAATCAAGTCTCAAAGGACAAATCATGCATCGTATATGATCATATAAAAGCTCTCAACGTGATCGCGTGATTAAAGGAAGAGAAGAAGAAGGAGGAAAGCACGCTAAAAGTAAAAGCATCCATGTGTCAGAAAAAGTATATTACTTTTTCAAATAAGGACAACACTCTACACCTACGATGACCGGAAAAGGACAAAAAGTTCCTAGGTATCAGTTAAAGTCAGACACAATAGCTAACAAACGTAGAAGGTTTCACGCAATGTCTATAAACAAGAAGCAACATTTAATGCAAGATCTAATGCATTAAATGAGAAGATTGAACTAGTCATGAACGATGACATCTGCTTCAACGGACACTTGCAACAGGAAAATTTTACAAGACTATATATATCACGACTTCAAACCTTGAAAGGTTGGCTTTGGTGAAGATGAGCAAAGAGTGATATCAAGCCCATGAAGTAACGAAACCAGAGATAGAGCGCATATAGAGTCAAATGTACCATAGTGTAATTATCTTTGTAGACTAAGGAGTTCTAAGTGTAACTTAAGAACATGTACCTTAGTGAGTGCAGCAAATTCTTGTATCCTCTCTGTGAGAGTAAACCAAACACTCAAACCAAATTGTTTATCTATCACTTGTAAAGCCTGAAGAGGCTAGGGAATACTTGTAAAAGCTTGGAGAGGCTTGTCAAAGAATACTCACTAAAAGCCAGAAGTGGCTGAACAAAGAATACTAACGCTAATAAGTGAAGTTAGCGGGCTAGGAGGTGGTTGACAATACTCACTAAGAGCCAAAAGTGGCTGAACAAAGAATACTAGTGCTACTGAGTGAAGTTAATGGGCTAAGAGGTGGTCGATAATACTCCCTGGGAGCCAGAAGTAGCTGAACAAAGAATACTAGCGTTGACGAGTGAAGTTGGCATGCTAGGAGAGAAGTGTCTATTTTTATCTTCATTCCTTGTGGAGAGAAGTGTCTGTTAGTGCATTAAATGTGAGTAATAAATGCATTTTACCAAATTGTCACTTCTTATATAATCAAGGAAATTACTTATCACCTTTTAGATACCAAAAAAAAGGAATTTGTGCGTGTGTTAGTCAGAAACAACTTTTTCCAATCCTTCATGTGCTTCAAGGGATCTACTTATCATTTCTCCGACAAAAAGCATGTCTTTTTTCCTTTTTGTAGTTCAAGTACCAAAGAAGATTTTTTTTTTCCAATCTATTAAAGAATAACACAGACAAAGATAATTTGTTTATCAAACATCATAAATAATATATATTAAATGATTTGTCCTTACAAACAAAGTAATTCGTCTAATAGACATAATATCAAAATAACCAATCATTTTTATCACTATTTATTGTAATAAAATCTTGAAAAACTTTTCTCTTGAAAAATATTTGAATTTGTTATCATTAAAACTTATATATTTAAAGGGATCCAAGATCGTCTTTTATCCTAATATATGTTAAATCAAATATCTGTGCATCGCACGTGTGCACATACTAGTCGCATATAATATTTGAATAATTTAAAACTTTAATTTTAAACTATTATTTCCAAAGCAATTGTTAGAATAAATAAAATTTATCGCAAAAATGTTTTTTAAAATCATTTTATAAGATTTTTTTTAAATATTTTAATAATTATTCATAAATATGCGTAAATACTCATAAATATTGGAAAAAAATTCATCAACATCCACTTAATAAGTATCTATATGAATATTAAAATAAATATGAAATAGATATTTATGTAGTGGGATAGATAATAAAAAACTACTATTAAGCCGATTCCACCCTATTAACATCTCAATCGAAAATCTTTTGAACTAGTAAGAATTACTTATTCAGTAACAATTACAATATGACAAAAAACGGCATTAGTGTATGCCTAATGAACCGATAGATATACTTATGCGAGAAAGAAAAACACCATTTCTTTGGCCTCCACATAAAACACACAATGATTTCGGTCTTTACATATATATAAACAAAAAAACGCTAAGTGCCTCCCACCTCCTGTCTTAGTTTATAATATTGTAACTTTGTTAGTAAGTTGGTGACTAGTTATCTTTTCAAGACTCATGATTTCAAATGCCATCTAGTACAAATTATCATTAACTTGTTTATCTTCTCCGAAATGTTATAACCATAGGGACAAGATAACAGTTAATTTAAAGTAAAGATCATGATGAAGAATTGTTTCAAATTGAAAAGATAATTTATCTATAAATATATTTTTAATAAATAACAAGGTATTTTTTTCCCAAGCAATAAGTAATAATTTATTTTTTATGCTACATTTTGTTTAGTCGATCTTCAGCACATAAAACAGAAACCGCAATCAAAGGTGTTTCCCAAAAGTAGAGGCTGCGATGGGTTCAAGGTCCAAAAGCAGCCCTCTGGTGAATTCAACAAACGGGAAAGCAAGTGGGGGATCATCTGACTTGATTTTCCACCTGTTGCAAAGTAACATCAACATTAATCACACCTTCATAATTAAATTTAAATTTCACTTTCTTTCCTGTTTCTATAAGTTAAAAAAGAGTGAAGATGGTAAGTGTGAAACAATTGAATATGAAAGATATAGGGGAGATTGTTGCGGGTTGCATCAATTGTCCCGTGGCGGAGGCTAGGTGGGCCAAGTCACTGTCGAATCATGGCGCTTGGGCTGCTACGCTCTTAAGTAGAAAGAGTTGCGCCCTGACTATCAGCTATAGCTTTTGGCCTAGTGGTAAGCGCTCGATCCAACA